TGCCTGCCCCCCTCCTCTACCCCTCACTATGCACCCACATTTTTGACTTATGTTCCCCACCCTATTTACCTATGAAGCTTCACCCTTCTAATTGGACAGTTAATTTACTATATTAACGGGCAATGACCGTTTACAGATGAAGTAGAGGTCACGAACTTGTATGACGTCAATACATCCTGCTCAACTCGTGATCTTCGCCTTGTTCAAATGTTCATCTGCCTACACTAATAGCCGCTGTGCGGCTGCTAGCGGGACTCGAAAAGAAGCCCCTGAGCAAAACGAGACCTGTAAGTTCCGCTAGCGATCGGCAAACGTTCATAAACCAGGGCAGATATCACACTCTTCCCCCTCCCTCTCCAAGAGTCAAAAAGACCGGAGGTGGGATCGGGCGAAGTTGACTGGCGCGGCGTGAGCCAGCACCTTGGCGTGCCACGACCTGTCATTAGCAGGTGAATGAGATGGGGATATTAAGGCCACCTATCACCTACACCTATTCTTGTTTTGTTTGTCGAGAGAAACCATTTTTACCCTCTAGCGGAGAAAAGCAAAGCTTTAGGTTAACGATCGCAGAACGTTCATTAAAGAGTGTCAACTTGCGGGGTAACCGGAGACTGTAGTAACTGGAGTCGCCCCGAAGTTCTGTCTTAGGTTGGCTTTCGCATTCGACAGAACAATATACGGGTAGCTGAGGTGCACGCGAATGTATTTGCCGATTTCATGACTCATATCCGAAGTGGTTCTGCAAAGGTCAGAGACGCTAGTCGCTAATTACCTCAGACCGAAATTCTGGACTTGGTATGTGGATGATACCTTCTGCGGCATCAAGCGAGACCCGGTACTGATATTCAGAAAATATCTCGGTGACCTTTTGCCGGATTTCCAGTTTACGATGGAGGATAAAGCGAACAACCAGTTGGCCTTCCTTGATGCTATCGTCTATCGCACAGATTTTGGTGGCCTAAACGCCAAAGTTTCCAGGAAGGCGATAACTACGAGGCAAGCAATGAGCTTAAACATCAACCGACCAATCAACCACGAGCAGAGTTGTGTCAAGATTTTATATTGACGTGTGGATGCGTAGTACAAAGAACCAAAAAACAAGGCTACTAAATTGCAATAATTTCGATTGATATTCACAGCGAACGATTACCCACGCAGTTTCCTAATCTGATGCATGATCTGATGCAAATCGTACCATCCCCAAATTTGGTACCAATGTTTCCGCACGTTCCCGAAAGTTCTAAAAGCCGCCAGCTCTTTGGAGTTTGGGCTACACACGACCCAGACGCTAAGTTATGAGGCCGAAAGATCCATTGCTCTGGCAGTAAACGTTTGAAGGAGTTCACCGGATCTGGTGAGGCTGTGAGCAGAGCACTTACGTGAGATAACTTAGCGGATTACTCTGGACATGAATGGTTGAGCACACAGCACCAGTGGGGAGGAATTACGTCAGCCTATTCGGTAGGACACTTCAACATTTAAAAGCTTGTGAGTCGTTATGGAAAAAGAGTAAAAATGAAAGGATTCCGACAGCATTCAAGTGGTATGTTGAGGTCTTTGAATATCAGTCTAAAAATAGGTTTGAGGGCTATCCTAAGGTGAGCACTTAAATCTTATGCAAACCCAAAGCCTGCATGACTAAAGCACTATATCATTTTCAAAGAGCGAATTGCCATCAAAACAATGCTTGTTTAACGCAGAAGACACTAAACTCTATAGATTTTGCATCTAACCGTAACATTTGAAGTCACACTTTTCTACATCGCAACATCGCTCCAGTTAAAGTACTAAAGTGAGACAAATTTGACAGAGGGCTGGAAAGGAGGTTACCGGCACTACAAGAAAAAGACTATTAGGAGCAGGCCTAATAGCCTCCTTATCACACTGTCCTGATGGCTCGTCCCATGGGGCACTATCGATCGGCACAGGCCGCGCACGTGGTGAAATCGCGCAAGCCGCCGGCCAGTATTAGTGCTTTGCCATACCACTCCGGTGAGCCGGGAAGCCACTCGGCATATTATCCCTCAAGGAAGCAATCTCATTGGCCTGATTGCACCTGCCTGTACATGCACTGCTCGCCTTAACTACCCTGTACTAAGTACGTAAAGACACTTCCACCTTTGCGCCCTTCTGGTTGTTCTTTTCTTGGGAATTCAAGCAAGGCATAATTAGATAGTGACATCTCGGCTTTGGTAACATTACAACAAAGACTGCCGTCAGCGATTCGACAAATCAGCGCTAATGGCTGCTAAATTTGCGGTTAAAGTGAATATCCTCAGAGAGAGCGCCTAGACTCACCACAGACAGTCGTGAAGCGGCGTACGAACCTGTGGTGTCTGTTCGATGAGGCGATGAGGCCCGACGACCCCCCTCCTTACTAGTTGACTATTAGCGTCGCGTGCGACTCAGCCTTTGGTCGGTTGACAGCGTGACGCCAATCGATATTTTGGCGTTCAGTGATTGGCCACAGTCGGGTAGAGCTCAAGTGCGAGCTCTAAGGTGCTCCCCCCGGGTCGGTTAAAGTATTGTTGATACTGTCTTCTCCGCTGTTGATAATCTCCCAGCCACAGAAAAGAGAGTCCTGCCATCTCCATCTCCTTGTGTTTTGATTTCGGAATAGGCTTATGCTCGCGGCGGCCATACCTCCTGAGAGTGAGAGAAGGCACCTTTAAAATTTCCCCTTTCCCTATTAAGCTTAATTCTGACTGGCTTATTCCAAGTTAGCGGTTAATTTCTGAGGAGATAATAAAACAGCAAGTTTAAACTTGACCTATCTATCAGAAAGTCTATAAAACCAAAAACACTGGGAGACCCACTGATGAGTCGAAACCCTCACAGCTATGTCTTGTAGCGGCAGACTATCGGCGAAACACGTGTCCGGGCTTTTAGAAAGTATATGTGCTGTCGTTATGCTCTGTAACATAACTTATGTATAGACAACTGGTATGTGGTGTTGCAACTAGTACTTCTGATGTACGAAAGAGATATGCTCCTTGGTCCCTTCTCCATGTGGCCGCACAGCTGCGTGCGTGATCGGAGCCCGACATTATCATTGTTTACGAAAACCTTGCGTTGGAAGGCCGCCAACTAATTTTTAATATTAGACCACGCCGTCAGCCCAGTGTGCCTTGTCTATTGAATAGCTGACCACTGGACTGAGAGCCAGACGACGATGACTCATTCTTACTCTCCGGGTTTCGGTAATATTGGTGTGAGCGTGAGGGGAGCCACATAGTGTTGTGGCACGCGCAGACGGGTTCGCCAGCCCTATCAGCCACTGCGCCAATCCCGCTTCAGACATTTGATAGGCTCAGACGGTGGTCTGATGCAGGGATTGGGAAAGAGAGGGTGAGGTCGACGGCT